AACTCTAAAATTATTCATTGTAAAAAATATCAAATCCCCTCTTTAAAGCAATTGATTCTAAATATACAAACCTAGTTGCCATTATCAAAGAGGTCTATTTGGGTTCGATAGTAATTGTCTATTTTATAAATCATTGTAAAAAAAAAACACTAAAGCAACTGATTTCAAATATAATATAATATAATATAAGCGCCTACTTGTACGTTATTTAATTGGCTTGCATATTATTTCATGTGCATTATTTCGAAATAAATCATTGTTGTAACTTATTTAATATATAATGTAAAAATAAAAGTAGTCTAAAGATTGAAAACTTGTTTTTAGAGTATTCTCGCCAACGTTCACCATTAGCATACTGTAATTGTTATCTACTTATTCACATTAAAACTTTGTTTCTTGATATTTTGCACAAATATAGTACATACCAATCTTTTTGCATAGAATTAAAAGATAATATGTACTTAATGCCAACTATTTTATGCATGCCGCTACTGAATTTAGCCTGTCTCTAATGTGTTGGTGATTGTAGTACTTCCATTCTGTAATATGGATATTTTTGGATTAATTATTGTTGCGGCTGATGCGAGAAATTTTAAATATTTTAATAATATGAAATTTTCAAAAATTATTAGGGTGCATTTTTTTTACCGTTAGGTTAGGATTTAGGGTTAGTTTTGATAATGAAAGAGTATATGTGGATTTTGGCAGCGTTTATATTTTTAAATCGGGGTCCTTAATTTCCAACATCAGCTGCGATAATTATTTATACCTTATAGACTCTTGCAACTATAAAAGAACAACATAGCAACGTTGTCCGCTAATTGTCTTTTATAAATAAAATAAAAATCGTTGATAACATGCGTGATGACGATTTTGAGGCAGTACAAAAAAAAAAATATAAAAGTATCATCTATGATAGTGATCGTAACAATGTTATCACGAAACTCAAGAAGTTAATCAGTGAAGTATGCTTCAAAAAATTCCAATTAAATTTTAATTAGATTTATATTTTTTATTCCCTTTGAACCTTTTTTAATTCAATTTAAACATTTAGAAATCTGCTGAATGTAATACAAAGGACATTAAATTTAAAGACACTGATTGGACACTAGACGGAGAAAAGGCAATTCTTGATGCAAACAAAGTAGATAAATCGGTTGTTGTTGAGATTATACGTATTTCCGATTTTATCCGCAATCCAATTTTCTTTATCAATGATGATTTCCCCGGTGAACTTAAACAAGGTGGTCTTGGTGATTGTTGGTTCCTTGCAGCTCTTGCTGCAATTGAAGACTTTCCTCGTGTTATCAAATCAATTGCTGTTGCACGTGACGAAATAAATGGGGTAAGAAATAACCGTAAGTTATCATTCCTAGAAAGTCAAATATTTTATGTCAAATTGCTACATAGATCTATGGGTTCGTATTCTTCATAAAAAACAACTGGGTTGGTACTATAGTGGATGACTATGTGTTTGTCAAACAAAATGGTCATTATTATTTTAGGTAGGTCTAAATTTTTATGTTTGCGTTTCTGTATTGATATTAAAAATTACAATATATTATAGTGAATGTACTTGTCGACGTGAGACTTGGGCTTCACTTCTTGAAAGTACGATAACCTTTGCCTCTAACTGTGATGATAATATTAATCCAGTTTGATTATTTAATTAAATACTTTCTACATAATGTTTTTTGTAGAGGCTTATGCCAAGGTTTATGGTGGCTATGAAAAGCTTAAAGGGGGGCATGTGGGAGAAGGTATTGAATTATATGAGTTTTTTAATTTGTAGGAAACGACTTATTTATTTATTTTATTAGCATTTGAGAATTTGAGTGGCCAAACAAGGGTAGTCTATAATTGCTCCGATATATTAACCAGTCAAACTAAAAAGGATGCTCTTTGGGAAAGTCTTTTAGGTAGAATGAATCATCATATTGGGTTTGGCTGCGAAACTTATCCAAAGCCATCCAATGGCGTAAATAAAGGCCCTGATGGTTTAATATTAGGTCATGTCTACAGCGTTATTCGTGCTGTTAGATTCAAACCATCTAATGCACTTAATGTTCAATTGGTCGAAGTTCGTAATCCATGGGCTCATGCTGAATTCACACGTAAGAAATTTGATATTAAATGTCTATAAGCTCACACATTTATCTATTTAATTGGTTTTCTGTTTTTCTAGTTTCATGGAATGATAAAGATACAATAAGCTGGAAGCCAGGTTATGCAACAAAACTACAACATTCACTTGATGATGATGGTTCTTTCTTCATGACGTATGATGACTTTTTGACTCACTTTAAACGTATTGAATCATGCGCTTTTCAATTTGCTGGTGGTAAGTACTAACTTTCTTTAACTGAAGCAAAATATATAAATAAGGAGATATAAGACTAAAATGCTCTCAGAATGTTATGAGGTTTTTTCGGATCCACTAGATTTTCCTGACAGAAAGCAAACTATAACACATGATAAACTGCCTCCTGTGGTAAATGAGTTGTCAGTGACATTGAGATTATATCTTAAGCAATATAATCAAAATCAGACTTCGATTTTTCATCAAGGTATATATATATCATAGTTTCACGGGCTAAAACGAATTCATTTTGTTCAGGTTAAACGTTTGCCCCGAAGAAACTTATTTTCCTCAAGAAAAAACGTTTCAGATTCTGAAAATAATTTAGTCTGCAATGTATAAATAAGCATTATTTAACTCTTCCAAAAAATGTATACACATAATATATTTTCAGGCGCAGATCAAAATAAACTTACACCCTCCCTTTCGCTAACACCAAAAGATTCAAATCCAAATGTTCAGTCATCAAGACTATGTTTTCAGTTATCAACAAATAATAATCCGAAGAATGAATTCAATTCAGGCAATGGTCTAGTTCTAACTGCAAGTGTTGATTTGATCATAATATTTATATAAAAAATTACTTTTTGTACATAGCAGTTTCATGAAGATGCTAACTTTTAAACTACCAATAAAGATATGAGCAAAACCTCACCTTAATACCAAAAAAAAAATTAAAATATTAATAAAATAACTATTAAATTAAAACTTTTTGTTATAAATTAATATGACATCATTTTCTTACAAAAAAAAATTTTGCAAAAGAAAAAAATAAACATGTTATAATAAAATAGCAAAAGCAAAACAAATATATTTATATTTATATAATGAATATAAAAATCGTAGATGAGATATTCTTTTTCTGAAACTACAAGAAAATTTTGATAGCGATCCCATGCACAAAGATAACATAAGCTACAAAAATATATATAATTTAATCTAAATTAGATAAAAAAAATTGACACTACCTAATTCATATATGCATGTAACCATTACACCACATTTTTATATAAGGGAAAACGAACTGAGCAAAATTATAAATCTCTAAATAATTTAATTAAAGTATTGGAATATTTCTATAGTATTACTAAAGGTCTGGATTTTATAGCTTAGCAGTTAAGCTTCCAAATCTTTATAAACAAGAATTTACATAATCTGTGCACTTAAAAAACTGTAAAATGTTTAGTTTAATAATATATAGTTTATTACAATAAATTTTTCTCTCAAAGTAGATAAAGTCTAAAATCAATCTCATCAATACACAAAAGATCAATCCAATTACCGTATACGATGGGCCAAACCACCCCCCTGTCATAAAATAATTATCGGTCATGCGGATATTTAAATGGTGCATATGATAGTTTATTTTTGTATACGTACCAGTAAAGGCAATTGTTCTGTGATCCGATATGCACCATAAAAATATCCGCATAATCCGACAGGGGGGTGGTTTGGCCCGTCGTATACGGTATTTAATAAAAGATAAATAAAAACTGATTTTATATACAATATTGTCACGAGAAAATGCCTCGGTCATTATTTCGAGACACAATGTAAAGCGAGCTAAAAATTTAATTTGGCTAGGTACGAACAGTTAATTCCATTTTTTAAATGTTTGTCTCAAAATAACACCCCATGACGTTATTACGTGCGATACGGCATTTCAATTCAGGTTTACATTATCAGGTACGATTACATCATTAAAATATTCTGAACACTTCATAATATGAACATTTTATTTATCATTACATATAATCATTGAACATATTATAATCTTAAATTGTGAACCAGCACAATAGTGAACCAGCACTTGTGTCCAGCACTTGTTAAAAAATTACGATTTAAAAATATTGTATACGGAAAAAGAATGACTTAAATTGTGAGCCAGCACTAATGTTAAAAATTAAAAAATTACTATTCTGTTATAATGTATACGGGAGGGGGGAATGATTTGATGGTTTGATGAAAGAGATATGCATTAAATTGGTGTGTAATGCGTATTGTACAGTGCAATGTATGAAATTAAAAAATTAAAAATGAAACCTCAAAACCGGGATTCTCTTTTTCATAATTAAAAAAAATTTTCCTGTACTAAGCATAGAATATATATTATACTGGCACAAGCTCTTCATAACTCGAAACACCGAATCTACGATGTCCAATCAATAAATCAGCAAAAAAGTCCTGTATTGAATTAATTATTCCGAAAGATGTAGTTTGGTCTACTCCAAAAGTTCCGTGTACGGCCGGTTCGTACGATTCAACGTACGAATAAGCATGAAACGATCTTTTGGCGCTATTAATTTATAAAAAATATAGTTAATAAATATTTAAATTACAGACAAATAAGGTAAGAGAAGTTACTACTTACGTCCAAACAAGGAAAATAATAAAACATTCTATTAATAGTATAAGAATTAAAATGACTGTACAATTTATGCTACGATATAGTTTTTTAGGTATAGCTAATGCCATATGAAAAGGAATCAAAATATATGATAGTATATTCTTGATTATATTTAACAGAAAATCCGTGGATCTTCGTCTTACTATTGTGGGTGATTGTGATGGTGGTGTAATTTGAATTGTCTAGACAATAAACGGTCGATTAATTTGATATGGCATAATATAATGTATTTTTTAAAGAACAAACCTTGTTAACTTTTCTTTTTTTTGTCACTTTTGCCAGTAAACGTCCGATATCTTCTTGAAGTCTTAAGACATCTCTTTCCAGATCTTCTGCCACCTTTGTTTTCGTCCCAAACTGTGCCAAGAGAAATTTCAATTCATTCTGCAATTAGACAATACATTAAGAAAGTAAGCATCATAGCATTGTTAAGTTTGCACTTAAGTATTTATCACGCAGAATACATTACAATATAGGTGCTGTCAGGGGAAATGACATCAAATTTTAAATTTATAAGTTACCGGGACAGCAGTCCCTATAAACATGAAACCCGATGACAAGTTTTCCATTGGCTGCACTCATTTACTTGGCCATTCTTAGTGGTACGGGCATAATTACATCATGAATTACGACTCTTACATTTTAAATGAAACGAATTTTTATAGTCATAATTATGACAATTCGCCTGAACCACTAACCATTCTACAACATATGAATGAGCCAGATCTTTAAATTTATATTATGCCGAACTCAATTATTTAGACTTTTCCAAGGTTTGAGTTATAAGTTTAAAAGCTCGAAGTCGAGTTTTCCCTTTGAGTCATTCATATAACGGTAGTTCTGCTAGTCCACATTCACGTGATCTCATTCTGCAGTGTCTGCATTTTATTACATATAGGTAATGCAGGAAAATGTCTGCATTTTTTTTTAATATAAAAAAATGCAGGAAAAATACCTGCATTTTTTTTTAATATAAAAAAATGCAGGAAAAATACCTGCATGTTTTTTTAATATAAAAAATGCAGGAAAACATATCTGCATTTTATAATTTGTCTCAACTTACTTTTGAATATTCGAATTCTGTTCTTCGTTCATTTCCGAATGGCTTTCGTTTGGGTCTTCTCTTCTCAACAAGGTTCTGTATGATAAATCAGTCGATAAAGTTCAATTTTAATAGAAACCAACATTAGATTTTATTTAACGTCATTCGATAAATCGGATTGTTTTGGGTCATTTTTCGTTAGCAAATTAGCTTTGAAAATCGATAAAAGTCTTAGGCTGTCTTTGAATTTATCTCATTATGTAATACTGACCTGCTGCAGCTTGTCTATTATTTGACCTTGTTGAGGTTGAATGAACATATTGATAAAAATTAACCTTAACCGTTATTTGTTCTAATCGGCAAAAATGAAATTCTTGATTTTACGGTTTTGCTATCGTCTCAACTGCTATCTTTTATCTGTTGGAGGTCACACGAGCCCCCAAAGTTTGGTCACAAATTTAAATGATTCAAAAGTAGAAAATTGTATGTCATACAGATACAAAAGGTAACAGTAATGGTTATATTGAAATATAAATGATGAGACATTTTTAGACGGTTAGTCATTGCGGCGCATCTGTGGTACAAACAATAATAATCGGACTGGTCGGGAGAACAAGGAAAACTCATGGGATCATGTAGCACAAATCCAAAATCCGATTCTAAAATAAGGTGGAAAGTATATTAAACCTTTCTTCACGAAATCGCTGAAGCAACGAATAATGCCACTATTATTCGATTTTAAAAGTGGGTTTCTTGAATAAATCCCTGCGGTGAAATGTTTATGTGCTTTTATGGAATTAACGTATTAACTAATAGTTATAATAATAGTGACGGTGTAATCCTATAAGCCTTTTTTGTAAATGCTATTGTTATTGAACTTGATTTATCTAAAAATATCTATCAATAATCTCGCCATTAACTTGTAAAAGCTGCGTATATTTAGTTTTGAAACGATATGATTACATATTGATGTCATTATATAGATCGAATCATTTAGATTAAGATAAAATCTATCAAATATTTCCGAATGATTAATATTAAACGAATAGACATAAGGGCTATTACGTAACACTACTAAAGTAGAGTTGGATGCTGAAACTTATTTTCTCAGACCTAAAAGGTTTCGGGTTTCGACGAAACTTATTCTAATCCCTCTAAATCCCAAACCAATGCATAAATCCAAAACCTAACACCGAAATCCAAAACCAATGCTGAAAACCTAAACCAAACATGATTTTTCCAAACCTAAACTGATGCCAAGTTTCGAAAATCATGTGATATTGTCAATTCATCATCGTAAATGTGTACAAGACTAAATTCTTACAATTCGTTAAGTGTAGGGTTAGGATCAAAGTTAGGATCTAGAGAATAACAGCTTATATAGTAAAATTGTTCAACGAAAACTTTTTGTTAGAGCACAAAAGGTGGTTTCTTATGCTGATTTTTGAGCTATGAGCGATTTTTGGCAGAACGAACAATTGTTTTGAATCTTTCTGATCGTGTTACGTTACACCTAATATTGAAATCTGATTCGTAGTTCAGGAGACCTGCGCCACCAATCTTGTACACATTTACGATATGCGATTTTTTTTCTTAGATTCTTTAAAGTGAAAAGCGATCGTCAGAAGCATAAATCTAATAAACACGCTATTCTAAAAATTTCTATTAACAATAAACGAAAAAAGAATAAAAATCGAACTAATCAAGAAAATGCAATTGAATCAGAATTCTTGTAGATTTTATTTTTAATGCTCTTTCAGAAGATTATAACTGATTATTTATTTGAAACCAGGACGCAGCAAAAAAAAATTATTGAAGAAAACAAATAGAAACAAATGGCTCGATAGTATTAATAGAAACTTTGTGCAATAGTGAATTTGCAGATTAGTATATTCTTTTTTAACCCAAGTATCTTGGAATTTATCAAGTCAATTTTAATGATTTAATTATTATTAAAATTAAAAGAATCTCTTTTATAATTTTATTTAAAGTTAAAAAAATCTTTACTTAGTAGAATTTTTTTTAATTTTTAAAGAATTTTTTTGTTAATAATATTATTAATTAGAGTAAGTTACTTATTTGATCCAAAGAATATATAGTAAACAAAAAAATTAAAAAATTTTAATTCAAGATCTTTTTATAATTACTTTGAATTTAAGCTTGTAATTTTGTAAAAAAATTTAAAAAATACTAAAGAATATAAGTTTTATATATAAAGTTAATTTTTATATTTATATATTTATATATATATATTTTAAATTTTAGTAACATTACCAGTTGGTTTATTAGATTCTAAATTTGATATAATACAATTTGAGGTTATATTTTATAGAATTATTACTAGTACTTAGGGTTTGGAGTACAGATAAAAAATTTGGTATGCCTATATGAGCATGTTCTTAAGTCAAAGCATGCTTATTTAAAATTATGTAATCAAAATTTGTCATTAGTCAATCACAGTATAACATGCATCAATTCTATTTTTTTTTTTTTTCTCTTAAGTAATCATACTAGTGCTTTATTAAGATTTTGAAATTACATTTGCAATTATATAAATATTTTTAATAATTAAGCTCTGCAACATCTGATCACTCTAATGATACCTAAGTACAATCTGTTACATTACTTCAAGCAGAAGTAAACTGCTCATCTGACTACTTAAAGTCTATTATGAAAAGGTCTTTTTTTTTTTTTTTTTTAAGTATCCCTGTTGCTTATAACAACTAGGAGCACAGATGGCACTCTTTATTAAAATATTATTATATTAAAATATTATGAACAGTCTAAATATATTTTAGATATTTACAAATTAGTTTGGCAGTTTTAGATCTATAACCTAGTGTGTTGTATTTTAAAACATGTATTTCTTTTGAAATATGAGCTTTAATTAGTGTGCTAAGTGAGCTCAGAGAGGTATCAGAGCCACCCCATTTTAATGAAGTATAATGATACCAAATTTCGTAGATTATATTAATATGTAGCCAGGTTATTGTAGTTAATGCTTGAGTACATTTAATGTTTGAAGCTTAAAAAATGCTTTTCAAGTTGGTTGGTATAGGTTTTTCCTCGTTGAAATTTAGGAACTTATATGCTTTTTTCTAGATTATTATACTTCTAGGACACTCAAGAGCAAAGTGTTCAAGAGTTTGAAGCTCTTCTGGACACCAGATATAGCTGCCTGTTTCTAATGGTCCTATGTGTTTAAGGCGATACCCTAAAGGAAGAGCTCTATGAAAAAGCTGTCAAAAGATGTCTTTTTTCTTGTTGCATATAGACTTTAAAGAAAGCCAAGTAGGTTGTATAGTCTGGGGTACAGAGT